TGAGATGCCAGCAGAATATTCTGCGTCTCCTGAGGCTTTATTAATATGGTATTTTATTAAATTAAATTAATGATTAGGGGAGACAACGTAGTTAGGGTTTAAACTATAAAATAGGATTTATGTGCATTTTTCTGATGATAGCTGGATATCGTGGTTTTTCACAATTTGCAGGTGCTCTAGGAATATAGCCCCCACAAATTTGGGGGGTCCACTATATTGCTAGTGTACCAACTGAGTACCTCTTCATCCTGTTCATTTCTCTCATCCCTTTCTTGTATAGAAGTGCAACAATCTAACTTTGTTACTTGAATTTTCTAATGGTTTAGATTTAACTGTACCTATTGTTCTTTTCACTTGGAATTTTTATTTTTCTATTACGTTTTTTCTTCTCCACCCAGCTGTTCCATTTTCTTTAGTGTGGGTTATTTTTTCCAATCCTAAATATTATTTGCTCCTCAAACATTCTTGCTGTATTTTGGCAGTTGCTGTAACTGTAACTTCTATACTTCTTGTTTTAAATTGTAAGCTGGGTCTGGGGAGATAGCTTAGTAGAATAAGTGCTTGCCTGGCAATCACAGGGTCCTGAGTTCGATCCCCAGTCCTACAAAAAATAAATAAATAAATAAAAATAACTAAAAATGAAAAATTAGCATTATAAAAAAATAAATTGTAGGCTGATAAACTTAGGTTATATTTTCAATGCATTAAAATCCTAGGATGTAGCATCACAAAATTCAGTACCTGCAAGGAATGTCATGTTATTATATGCATTTATACATAAGAATCATATAAGGCCGGGGAGATGGCTCAGTAGAATAAGTGCTTGCCTGGCAAGTATAGGGTCTTGAGTTCAATCCCTAGTTCTGCAAAAAAAGAAAGAAAGAAAGAAAGAAAGAGAGCAAGAGAAAAGAAAGAAGAAAAACCTTAGAGGTGGCTCAGGGGAATAAGCGCTTCCCTGGCAAGCGCATGGGCCTGAGTTCAATCCCCGGTTCCGCCAAAAAAAAAAAAAAAAAAGAATCATATGTAGAAACCAGATCACCTAAATTTTAAATGAGTGCTTTGTGATATTTTGGGTGTGGGCACTGTACTTTACTAGTACAAAGTATGTAGGTAACATATTAACTGCTCACCATCTGTCAAACACACATTATTTCACTAAATCTAATAGTAGTCCTGTTATCCTTTAGAGAAGCTACATAGCTTGCCTCAGTCATATCTTAAAATGATGGAGTTGTAATTTAAACCTTAGTATGACTTCAGATCTAAAGCCCTTTTATTCATTACCACCTCTCAGAGCTTATCCTCTGAGCCTAGAATTACAACTTTGAGTTGGAAGTGACTTTAGTGGTCATCTGTTAAAAACAACTTATCCTCCACTTCAATCATATCTACAATGTTCCTTTCAAGTTGTAATCTGCTATTTGAAACATGATGTTTACCTTGGGATCCAGCTTCTGCCCCCCCCCCTTTTATAGTTTGTTTAAACCTTCCATGCACCTTTTCACTATAACAGAGAATCTTAAAAATATGAATCAGGATAATTAAATGTTTGCTACCTTTTGAAGCATATAAAAGAATACAGTTATAAATTCTGTGAAAATATTAAACTGGATACATTCTCTAGCTACCTCTTGAGGGCTATATAAGTCAACAGCTAGTAAAGTTCTGTTCCAAAAACGGATAAGGAAACATAACTTAGTAACATAGAGATTGTGAAGATTTGTTCCCCACTTCTTAATTTTTATAGATTCTAGTGATGATCCAAGGACTTCAGGGAATAGCTTTATTTGTGCTTGCTTTATTCCACCAATATAAAAAGTGCGGTACAGTATAATTTTTGTTCAGACTCCTAGATTTAGTTACTGACAACTTGTACATAGGGCATGCTTAAAGACATGGCTGTTTGAACTATATTTATCTGACCCAACCAAACTTGTAAGCCTTGGCTCTTTTGTTTCTTTCACTTCTGATTGAATGGCAAGTAAAAATAATCAATTGAGACTTACAGATAGGTATTTATTATATATAATTTACTTTCACTAGATTTATGATTTCTAAATTAGTAAAAAAAAAGATCTTTGAGGTTTTTATCTAAAAGATCATTTCATTTTTAAAGTTAATTTTCTTTTCCATTTGAAGTCATCTGTCACCACCAGAATACATATGTGGAACTCCTAAGTTTCACTGGTATAACTTTTACTTACTTGAGTTGCCTGTATCACAGAACCTACTACATTTTTTCTTGGTTAATAAAACCAGATGCATAGAACAACAAAAATTATCAAGGAGGAAATAGTTTCTTGAGATCTACTCATCTTTATTGTATCCCAATCCTAGTAGCATTCTGATAGTGCCTAATAGTTTAAATAGCTGGAATTTCTCATGTAATTTTCCTGGCATTGTCAGAACTAATAATGTCTGCACAAATTATAAAATGTAACTAATGGGGTGAGCACGTAACTCAGTGGGAGGTCACTTGCCTAGCTTAAGTAGACCCTTTGCTAAATAGTTCCTCCCTTCAAGATTTAATTCCAGAGATAAGAGTTGATGAAGACAACAAAAAACCAAATTGCTCATGAAAAAAATAAGGAGGTAAAGACTATTTTAGAGACTCCACAGTCCCCATCATCCTTCCTCTCAGCTTTCAACCATGAGCTCTTTATCTTTTGCATCAGCCTTACAGTATGTTTTCATTATGATAGAACATTATCTTTCTATATCCATGCCTTCAGTAACACTGAAAAATAAATAAAAGACCAAAGAGGCTATATATTTCAAAATATTAATGTTGTTGTAGTAGTAGTAGTAGTAGTAGTAGTAGTAGTAGTAGTAGTAGTAGAGGAAGAGGAAGAAGAAGAAAGAGGAGGAGGAAGAAGATGAGGAGGAGGGAAAGAAAGAAAGAGAAAGAAAGAAAGAAAAAGAAAAGAAAAGGAAAGAAAGAAAGAAAGAAGAGACGAATCCTTATGGAATTCTTTGCATTTTACCTCATTATTTAAAAAGTTGACAAGAAAGGAAGAGAGAATGTAGATGAGATATTACACTTCAGATAAGTCTTATCTCTGGACTATAAATCAATAAATTTCAGGTGATAATACAAATAAAGAATTCATCGTAAAAGACTATACAAACGTCTACGAACTTGTAAAATTCTTAATTTTGTATAATGATTACCTAGAATTTAAAAAAAGGATCTAGTTTGAAGTGAGAAAAAGTTGTTAGCTGTTTAAAACATTTTGTTACTGACATTGTACCTGTTTGAATACAATCTGCTAGAGTAAAAAATTTCTTATACTTTTCTTTTTAGTTTGACACCAGAATCTTTTTTAATTCCAGAACAAACACATTTCTATATACTAATTCTTTCAATTATATGAGAAATTCCAGCTGTTGAAACTATTAGGCACTAACAGAATGCTACTAGCATTGGGATACAATAAAAATGGGTAGATCTCAGGAAACTATTTCCTCCTATTTCTTTTATCCTGTTTCTCAGGATAGTAAATGCTTTAAAAGCAAAGCAACACTTTATCCTAGTGTTTTTGTTTGCTTCTAGTAATATTGATTGTGGAAACTTCAAGTAATTTAAAGGCCTGAGACACTCAATTAAATATATTTTTGGCAACTTCTGTTGAATTAAATTAATTCAGTGGCCTTTGGAAAAAAATTCCTGCACTGTTAAGGATAATTTAATCAAGAAAACTTTGAGAACTTCAATATAATTTTTTAAATGTCTCAACTACAAAATATTAATCTATTAAAAATAAAATAACTATTTTCCAATATTGTTCTCGTTTAAGGAGTGATGGTCTTCACTCTTAAAATGAGAAGCAGTTGTCAATTTGAAAATTTGATGATCCTCATTCTTCTAGGCTTAACCCTGCTATGAAACAGTCCCTTGAAAACCTTCATTTTATTATTTTCTCTGGACTTTGAGACAGGGTTAGGAAAAGACATAAAATAGCAAAGAAGAATTAGTTAATAACCTAAGAATAAAACTGGATTTTAGTTATGTAACCCTGATGACTAAGCAAATATAATTTCATTTTGTCATGTATTTTGTTAAAAATTAGGCTTTCTTTATACCTTTAAGAAATAGACATAAATGAAAATATTAGCAACAAAATGATAAAAGATTAAGTGTTCTTTACTGGTATTTCACTTTTGGTATACAAAGGGACAGTCTTATTTTTCATTTGATCAAGCTTCATTGTAGAAATGAGAATTAAGAAAATTTATTCCAAGATCAGGTATGGTAGCATAGCCTGTAATCCCAGCACTTGCCTGTAATTTCAGCCCTCAGGAGGCTGAGGCAGGAGGATCCTTGTGAGTGTGACCAGCCTAGGCTACAAAGTAAGTGCAAGGCCAGCCTGAACTGCATAGCAAGACCCTGTCTCAAAAAGACCAAAAACAAAATTTGTTCAAGAATAGGTGTTTTCAGGGAGAAATGTTTTACAAATCAGAAGGGGACCAAAGGCCTGGGGATGGGAAAGGGAAGGAAAAGAGGATTTAAAGACATTTAAGATGTTTTATGTGTATGTAATAATTCCCCACAAAGAACGTAATCATTTTATGTTATAACCATGAACTTAAAAGACTAAAGTGAGAGAAGGGATCTAGAGATGGAGTCAAGGAGGAAAATGGAAAGGGGAAGGGGAATAAAAATAATTTAGATATCAAAAAAAAAAGCGTGTTTTAACCAGGAATGGTGGAAAAACACCTGTTATTCCAGAATTCTGGGAACCTAAGACAAGTTGATCACAATGTGGGCAACTTATTAATGCAACAAGACCTGTCTTAGGGGCCGGGGAGATGGCTCAGTAGAATAAGCGCTTCCCTGGCAAGCACAAGGGCCTGAGTTCAGTCCCCAGTTCTGCCAAAACAAAAAAAATTAAAAGAGCTAGAAATGTACCCTAGTGCTATAATCCCCAGGAGTAGAAGAAGAAAAAAACAGGTCAGAAAAAATAGTTTAGTTGAAAGAAATAGTATATAGAAATATGTGTTTGCTTCAGCAGCATATATACTAAAAATTAGAATGATACAGAGTGGATCAGCAAGACCTCTATACAAGGATGACATGCAAATTCATGAAGCATTCCAGAATTCTTTTTTTTTTTTTAGCATTGTACCATAGTGATAAATACACACCCATGTTTGTGTGTATAGCAGCAGTTTGTAATAGCCAAATCCTAGAAACAGCACAAATGCCTAACAGTTAGTAAATGGATAAAGAATATGTGGTTCAGGGCCAGCAAGCTATGTCAGCAGACTCAGCGCCTGCTTAGACAAGCACAGGGACCAGGATTCGATCCCTGGCACCACATGCCACTCTGGCCCCACTCCTGAGCACACTAAGCCAGCTACCGAGACTGAGCGTGGTGGTGCATGCCTATAATCCCAGTGCTGAGGAGGCTGAAAACAGGAGGATCACTATGAGTCTGACCTGTGTAATGAGACCCTATATCAAATACATTTTTTTAAAAAGTGTTTTTTTTAATACAGTGGAGTAGTCTGCCATAAAGAAAGATAACCTTGAGAGATTTCTAAGTAAATGGATACTTTTTTTTTTTTTTTTTTTTTTTGTGGAACCAGGGATTGAACTCTGGCCCTTGCGCTTGCCAGGGAAGCACTTATTCCACCGAGCCATCTCCCTGGCCCCTAAATGGATACATCTTAAGACCATACTCCTAAGTGAAATAAATTGGACATACTTGTATAGATACTACATTGTTTCTCTGGTGTGAAAAATCAGAGTACAAAAAAACCCTAAAATATATAATTAATATTGTGAAGTAGGAGGAAAATGTTCAAATGGGGAGGGAAACACGGAATGGGAGAGAAAGAAAGAAGGAAAAAGAAGGGAAATTAAAAAAAAAATAAAATGAGAAGGGGCTGGGGAGATAGCTCAATAGAATAAGTGCTTGCCAGAGCCTGAGTTCAATCTCCAGTTCTGCCAAAAAATAAAAAGAAAATGAGAAAAGAAAAAAATGGAAATAAACTTTTTGTAAATGGGAAGGGGAAGAGGAGTTGAAGGGAGGATAGGGGAATGGAAAAAAAAAGAATGAAGTTATAGCTTGTACAGGTACAAGTTCTTTATGATGAATATGATTATTTATACCTAAAATGTACCAATAGAATGCTTGAGAAAGAGGAAGCAAATGTGAGGGCATTAGATAAAAGGAATAAACAGCATTTCTTTGAATAGTTTTTTCCCAAGCCCATTTTATTCCATAACTTGATAGATTGGTTTTCTCCAGTTGTTGGCCCCACTTATTGTACTCTTCATCTCCCACCTCCAGGATTACCAGGGATTCAATTCATTCATTTCAAGGCCCAGGCTGGCCTTGAACTCACAGTGATCTTCCTGCCTCAGCTTCCCAAGTCCTGGGATTACAGGCATGGATCACTGTGCCTGGCCTGGCATGCATTTTTAATGTAACATTATTGTGTACATTTATGTATATTTATCACAGATTTTTACTACTGTGAATAAATAGAAATAATTATACTAGGAGTTATAAACATTATTGGTACTGTATTCCAATGATGGTTATAATTCCCCTTGTTACTTTTCCTGTCTGCCATTTTTTCATATCTTGAGTGGACATTGTATAAGTAGGGTAGTGACTCCTTCATGGTCCATTTTCATTTTATAGTGTGTTTTTTAGTATTCTCCAACATGGAGTGATAAAAAATACATGTGAATGTTAATTTTTTTAATTATTTTATTACTTTTTATTTTGTCATTAATCCCCCTCAGAATACTCTCCTTGGGGGCCGGGATGATGGCTCAGTGGAATAAGCGCTTCCCTGGCAAGCATGAAGAATTGAGTTCGATCCCCGGTTCGTCAAAAAAAAGGATACTCTCCTAACTTTTAATACACATATTCTCATTCTTGCCACTCTCTGGAGCAGTTCCAGAAGTCCTCCTGTTTACATGTTGTGTTAAGCACAGTTAAGGCTACTACCAGGTGCCAGCCAACAGAAAGTCAGGCTCATAAACACATTACTGTGTACGCTCATCCACCATATTCATCAGATCTGACACCATATGCCTTCTAGCTCTTCCCCAAAGCCAAAATGACTGAAAGGCAAATGTTTTGGATCCATTCAGGATATTGAGGCAACTGCAATGCCACTAAAGACACAGAAGAGAACTTCCAGAACTGTTTCAGAAAATACAAAGAATGATGGGGTCAGTTCAAAGCAAGACCAAATATTTTGAGGAAGATTAATGGCAGTATGTCTTTTACAATAAACACATTTTTTTAATTAGCATTCACCACAGTATTTGTCCATCATAGCATGGAATCTTGCTTCCATCTTTGTCCTCCATTTGTTTACCATCCCATATTAAAGCATTCTTACTTTGTGTGTTTATCATTTCACAATTTGATTATATATATATATATATATATATATATATATATATGCAAATACAGTATATATTACTCCATACACTGTTTCCATCTCAATACATAAAAAAGCATCCTTGTAGTTTTTAATAGATGTATATTTCAACTGAATAGACAGCCTTCACCATTCATTTAACCAGGTTCCTATTGGCAGAAGTCTCAGTATTAAAAACAGTGTTATAATGAGTAATAATTGTTTCTCATTTATGTAGAATAAACTAAAAAAAAAAACTCAGGTACAGGATTGACGGTCCAAAGCATAAATAAAGCCTGATCCGTGCCTGTAATTCCAGCACTCTAGGAGGTTGAAGCAGGAGGATCACATGTTCAAACCTTGCCTAGGCAGCTCTTAGCATTTGAACTCTGTCTTCAAGAACTATTGCAAAAGCCCAGTGTAGATAAGAAAAGGAGGATAGGGTAAGACATCTGTATTAGTAAATGGTATAATCATTTTAATATATTTTTTATTGTGATTAAAATATTTTTTTCATGTCTTGTGAATTGCCAGTGTGAATTTTCATTTATCGTTTGGGCTACTGGTCTTAACCAACTTCCAGAAATTCTTTATATATTTGGGGGGAATTATTCAAGAATCTTTTGATTTTTCTAAATTTTCAGGAGTGTAATTAACAGATAAGCCTCTCCCACTCTATAAAGTTTTAATGAGATTCTTATATGGATTTTTAAAAGTTCTTTTCATCCAAACAATATAGTCAACTTAGAACAAAAGGATTGGAGTCTAAGGTAGGAAAGGGACTTTGCATCAGTTGCATGCATTTTTTTTTTTTTTTTTTTTTAATGTATTTAGGACAGGGTCTACAGGGTCTCACTGCATAGATCAGACTCATAGTGATCCTTCTGTGTTTAGCCTCCCAAGCGCTGGATTATAGGCGCACACCACCACACCCAGTCTCAATGGCTGTCTCAGCGCGCCCCGGGCGTAAGGCTGGCACAGCACAAGGGCATCGAACCCAGGCCCCTGCACTCTGCCTAATCAGGCACTTTAGTAAAAGGCGAAAGATTTATATGATCTGAAGAGAAACCAGAGTATAAGCAGATGCTGTAGTCTGCTGAGCTATTTGGCTGGCCCTCAGTTGCATACATTTTTATGAATACTCAAGTTTATTTTTTACTATATGAACATATTTTTAATTTAAAGAAAATCTATTTTGAAATGATTAGAGGTTCACAAAAAATTGCAAAACAGCTTGTGTATTCTTCATCTGGTTTCTCCCAATAAGAACATATTGCATGATGCCAACCAGGAAGTTGACATTACTATAGTCCACAACATTGTATCCTTTTTTCTTTTTCAAACTTTTATTTTTTCTGGCCAGGAATTTGACCTAAATTAACTGTATGAATATAAAATCTGGAAGTATTTTGGTCTTGTGAAAGATGTAAATAGCGATCATGTAAATATTTGGTTTAGCTTTTTTTGTTTGTTTAGTTTTTAATACTTCATAAAGCTTTCATCATATGCTGATAAGACTGGTTATTTTAAACCTTGCTCTGAATGAGTAACACCTTTTAAATCGCATATGTTACTAATAAAAATTTTTGTGGAGCATTTTTGTGGCGTTCCTTCATCATTAAATTAGTATTTGTTGTACATTAGTAAAATCAGAATAATATTTTTATTTCTTAGCTTAATTTAGTATTAACTGCATCTGATATTTTGTTAACTCTATAAAGATTTGTATTTTCTCAGATGTAATGCTATATGAATTTTAGACTATTTTTGAAAGAATTGTGATTTTCACTTAAATGAGTTATTTTGTAAATATTTTTAAGTTCCCTCTTACATAAGAGTGGTGACTTTTTTTTTTTAATTACAGTGAAATCTGCAACTTGAAAATATGAGTTGCAAAGGCCAGCAAAATAGCTCAGTGGATTAAAGCAACTGCTTAGGTAAGCCCAGGGGTGGCAGTTCGATCCCCAGCACCACGTGCCATACCAGCCTCACTCCCAGGGCAGGCTAATCTGGCCACTGGGGAATGGCAGCGCACACTTGTAATCCCAGCTCTAGGGAGGCTGAAAACAGGAGGGTACTATGAGTCCAAACTGTGTAGTGAGACCCTGTAGCAACCAAATACATTAAAAAAAAAAGATGAGTTTCAAACTTTCACAGGTGTACTGTACAAGACAAGACTCACTTTTTTAGATTATGAACAAATGACTTAGAATTTTCGTCTAAAACAGAACTCATTTTTTAGATTGGGGATTTACTGTATTTAACCTTTGTAGGCTTGCCAAACTGTAGATTTATTGGATTTATTTGTAATCAGCAACTTCATGTCTTAATTTATGTTCAAAAAATCAAATATGCCCAGCATGATGGTGCATAACTGTAATCTTAGAAGGCTGAGGCAGGAATATCAGTTCAAGGCTATCCTGAACTGCAGCAAGACCTTGTTCCTTTAAAAAAAAAAAAAAAAAAAAATTATTTCTTAGGAAAGGCAAGATATTATTACAGCTCTTATTTGGGGAAATAGAGAAAATGAAGATTGTAGATGATTAACTGGAAACATTAGATAGTCTTTGAGTAAAGTAAATTTCTTTGGTTTTTCTATTTATAGATACATACAATCTTAAGATACCTTTAGCTTTATATCAAAGTAGAAGAAGGTCAGGGGCCTGCTCCTTAACTCAGTTCTTTAAGTGGCTGCTTCAACAAAGCAGTCAGGCTCAG